TAATATGTTAGCATATTTGACGACATCCATTGCTAAAATACAAATAGAGTCCCAAGTAGGAACGTATACAATGGCTTCAAATGCATTGTCATGCGTATTCTTAGATTAAAACAATAAGGGAAGATACGGTACGCTCATACTAGCAGAAAATAAAATATGATCCGACTCAACTACATAAGCAACTCTCACACGCACACGTCTGTATATAAACATTCAATCGAGAGAGCGAGACAGAACTGTACGCTTTAACGCAGCGCGAGCGAAACGGCGAGTCTGTGACCGAGTCCTTTGTATTGTTGTCCTTTTCTTGATAACAAAATGGCGATTACTTATATAACATTCACGACAAAACCGTGATTATTGAGTTTTTTTTTACAATTTTACGAATGAAAAGTTTTGCCGAAGTATTTGTTATTTGATTTTGAACTGTTTGTGTTCTTTATAAAAGCATCGAAGGCATTGTTTTATCTTTATAACACAGAATATACGCAATATTGTTTTATTGAGTACACATGCAGCGTGTTTGAATTTCCGATTGTGACTAAAGCGAATTGTGGTCATGCACCACAATTTAAGCGGATCACTTTTGAGCCGCGAGTGCTGTATCTTCCCTTTTTGTTTTAATCCAAGGGGATGGATCAATAAAGCTAGATCAACCAACACCCTGTCTAGGGTTAAGTATAGCACTTTTAACTACAATATAATAATAATAATATTTATTTCTGAACTATGACGTAAATAAATATAACAAAATGGGCTGTGAAAATGTGTGACCTAGACTCTAGAACCCAATGATTATATTATACTGATATAAAAATACCAGTATATGTTCAAATATGTTTGCAAAGACATGACTACGACTTACACGTGTAATGATAATTTCGAGTTTTTGATTCCTTCTTTTACCGTTTTTGATGAACAGAACACAGCTGAACACGGCATTATCATATAATTTTCACACTTAATACTATGAATTCTTTCCAATTTATGCAATACCACACGTCACCGCAATGTTGTGAACATATTAGCCGGACACCCGTAAGACATAATTTACACCGATACTCAGAATTGACAAACTGACGTCAACTGCGGCAACTGCTCTTTCACCTATGAGTGAACACTCTACAGGTTAGACAAAGATGAATGAAAAACAGTTCCATCCGTCATTCAGGCTGGCAAACTTGTGGCTCCGTCCATATGATACTCTATGTCTATGTGTAAATGCAATAAGCAGGTGATGAAAAAAAAATAGTGAAGCTGTATGTATCGTACATGTATACTTGTCGCAAGCAATAATCAATACTACAAATAAAAACATAAAATACGTATCTAATCATAATAATAATAAATCCGGTGCAGACATTAGGGAATATGCGGAGGTGTGCGAGGGCAGTCAAATTTTTCAATCTGACTTGGAGCTTTATCCTACTGGAAATATGGTTGACAATTGAGGAAACTAAACTTTGTGGTAATCTTAATATTCAAGACTCTGAAGTTAGCTAAGGAAAGAATGACGAAACGGTCTCCATCCGTCATGAAACACATGAGATTGAATAATACATAAGTGTCGACCTAAGAACAAGAACTAAAGCTTTGAAGTATTACTATGTATGGTCGTTAGAGCTTACACTCCCATTGTATTAACCAACCAAAAAGTATAAGCGGCATGTTGGCAGGTTTCATTTAACCTTAGATAGATTTTTTATTCGGTATCGTAAAGGTATCTATGTAGAGTGTATAGATGTCGCCGCCACATTCACTAAATTTGTGACAAATGTAAAGCAACATAGTGTTATCATTATCGGGGGCTGAGACATCGGAAATGGTGCGATACACACTTGCAGCACGATCATATTGTCACAGCCGATATTACATGACAATAGTCAAAGTCACGTCAGAAGTAGTCATCAGGCAGCAGTAAGGCACGCCTGCTACCTCTACTATATCGATCCAGGTCTTCCAAATCGCTTATGAGAACCTTCTTTCAATCTATTTATGGGTTAAAATTTGTATTTATGGTTATATTTACTGGGGGGCGGGGGCCTCGGAAATTGCACGAAACAGACAAGCAGCATGGTCATATTGTCGCATCCGAGCCCGCCGGTCCCACAGTTGAGTATGTGGCAGAACTACATCCACTAAATTGGGACAAATGTTAATCTTCATAGTGTCATATTTACGGGGGGCTGGGGCCTCGAAAATGGCGCGAAATAGACAAGCAGCACGGTCATATTGGCGCATCCGAGCCCGCCGGTCCCGCAGTTGAGTATATGGCAGAACTAGTGATGTGACCAGAGAATGTTCTCCAATCGAGAACTTTCTCGTATCGAGAATATTCTGAAATCTTTCCGTTCAACCGAGAATGTTCTCGGTACACTGGAAATTTATGAGAACTTAAAATGATGTTAATTTATGTAGAATAAGAACGATATAGTTTCAAGTTTTGTAATGAAATTAGTTCGTTTTGTACCATAACAACTTATTCAATTTACAACAACACCAAAGTGTGCCTCGGCGATCGGCTTTATTGAAGTTGAACCTTTGAATTCCGACAAACGACACGCACCGCGCGGCTCTTTGTGATTTCTGCTCCCACACCTCCCCTCCCCGTCTTGCTGCACGCGACGCTCGGTTAACGCACATGCTAGTACAGTCTCGCACCGTAAAGTGTTCGGACGTGATCAACAAAAGTGCCTTGTACGAAACAGAATAAAAAAAATATATTGAAAATGAAACCGAAGGGAAAGATTTATAATTATTATAAAGAAATAGATGAAAATGGAATAGTGTTGTATATATGCGAATTTTGTAATCAAAGTTACAAAAATCGAAATGCAACAAGAATGACTAATCATTTAACGAATAATTGTAACAAAATCCCCGACGTTATAAAATCGACATTTAGTTTATAAAGCATTCTCAGAATTGGATGAGTTGATACAAAATCCAACAGGGGCAGAAATTCTAGGGACCAATTTTCACTCTACGTTAAAACTAAAATATGAACAAAGAAAAAAGATATCATTAATGCTAATACATTACGCTGCGACGTTGTTAGATCCTCGGAATCGTGGGGCCATGCTTAAACCTAATGAGAATATTGACGGATGGCAGTTTGTGATAGCAGTCGCGGAAGAACAGCAGCAACCCATAGAAATGTTGATGCAAGAGGTATCAGACTACAAGTGTGGAGCTGGACTTTGGAGCAAAGAATTTGTATGGCAAACAGCCAATAAAATGAGTCCATTGGCACGGTGGAAATTACTTTACTATAAAACCTATCTAGGGACAATTGCTATTAAAATATTGACCGCTCCGGCAACTTCTGCTGCAGTAGATCGTTCGTTTTCAACCTTTTCAAATATACACACGAGAAAAAGGAATAAATTTCTTACGGGGCGGACGGGCAAAATCAGTCTGATATCCCATAATTGGAAACTATTGAAAAGATTAAATAGAAACGATTCAAGAACAAATAAAACATTTGATCAAGAAATACCGAGTACATCTTATGAAGGGGATCGTGCAAGTGATTCTGAGACAGAATCTTTTAATTTAGACTCTGATTCAGAAACATCTGTGGTCGAGGAGGAACCAGAAGTCCTCATGGAGATGAGTGATCATGAGGATGACGATCCATTAGCTGGAATTTCAAAATATAGATACTAATCAGACCAATCAGACGAATTCTAGAAGATTAATTTTAATTTTATTACCTATTTACCTTTAAGTTCTGTTTGTTTCGTACTTTTCGTATCAGACAGTTATGTTTTTAAATATATATTTAATAAATGTTGATTATGATATTTGGTATTTTATTACTATTTAACATAACAATTGTTATTATTCTCTACTAATAAATAATAACTTAAATCACTTACGATAAATTTTAAATAGACAAATATTGGAAATATCAATCCGGGGGCGGAGTTGATTTTTCCAATATATATATGTTTATCATAAGTATAAAAATAACATTGAAAAATGCAAAAGTAAAAAAATCATCATAATTAAATCACATTAGTCTTGAAATATTTCCGAGAACATTCTAGAAAGTTCTCGAGAACATTCTCGTAGTCTGGAATTTACCGGGAATTTATATAAATAACTGGGTTTTTATTAATCCAGTCTGCATATTACGTATATACATATAAACATCTATTAGTCACATTGTAAATCCTACCGAAAAGTGACTTCACTTTTAAAGTTCTCATAAATTCTCGGTCAGAAGATTGTTCCCGAGAACTTAACCGCAAAGTTTCACCATAGAGAATGTTCTCGAGAATTTAACAACACTAGGCAGAACTACATCCACTACATTGGGGCAAATTTTAAGCTCCATAGTGTCATATTTACCGGTGTCTGGGACCTCGGAAATGGCGCAAAATACACGAGCAACAAGGTCATATTGTCACAGCCAATATTACATCACAAGAGTGGCTCAGTCACGTCAGACGAAGTCATCAGTAGAGCTGTTTGGTATAATCTATTTTAGGGTCAAAATTAGTTCTTAAGGGTTTATATTTACCGGGGGCTGGGGCCTCGGAAATGGCGCGAAACATACAAGCAGCACGGTCATATTGTGGCATCCGAGCCCGCCGGTCCCGCAGTTGAGTATATGGCAGAACTACATCCACTAAATTGGGACAAATGTTAAGCTTCATAGTGTCATATTTACCGGGGGTTGGGGCCTCGGAAATGGCGCGAAATATACAAGCAGCGCGGTCATATTGTCGCTTCCGAGCCCGCCGGTCCCGCAGTTGAGTATATGGCATAACTACATCCACTCAATTGGGACAAATGTTAAGCTTCATAGTGTCATATTTACCGGTGTCTGGGGCCTCAGAAATTGCGCAAAATACACGAGCAACAAGGTCATTTTGTCACAGCCAATATTACATCACAAGAGTGGCTCAGTCACGTCAGACGAAGTCATCAGTAGAGCTCCTTGGCATAATCTATTTTAGGATCAAAATTAGTTCTTAACGGTTTATATTTACCGGGGGCTGGGGCCTCGGAAAAGGCGCGAAACAGATAAGCAGCACGGTCATATTGTCGCATCCGAGCCCGCCGGTCGCGCAGTTGGGCGCGAGGCAGCGCTGCATGAGAGCCTCGCAGACCCCGGCCGGCTCCCAACCGCTTAGAAGACGGACGCGGCAGAACGATATTACCTCCTGTTGATCAACGAATTGAAAATTATATTTTTGTAGTGAAACTTCTTTAGGCACGCTTGACTTGGGGGGTAAACTGGCGAATGTGTTACGATTTTGCGTTACTATTAGTGTCATCGGTAAACAATGAACAATACCTGTTACAAAATACATAAATCCTAGTGCTTGGTGGGTGATAACGGACCCAGTGCGGAATGGTGGGTGATAACGGACCCCGTGCGGATCGGTGGGTGATAACGGACCCAACGCGGATTAGTGGGTTACAATGGACCCAGTTCGGATTGGAGGGTGATAACGGACCCAGCGCAAATTGGTGGGGGATAACGGACCCAGTGCAGATTGGTGGATGATAATGGACCCAGTGCGGATTGGTGGGTGATAACGGCCCTAGTGCGGATTGGTAGGTGATAACGAACCCAGTCTGGTTTGGAGGGTGATAACGGACCCAGTGCGAATTGGTGGGTGATAACGGACCCAGTGCGGATTGAAGGGTGATAACGGACCCAGCGCGGATTGGTGGGTGATAACGGACCCAGTGTACATTGGTGGGTGATAACGGACCCAGTGCGGATTGGATGGTGACAACGGACCCAGCGCGGATTGCTGGGTGGTAACGGACCCAGCGCAGATTGGTGGATGATAACGGACCTAGTGCGGAAGGAGGGTGATAACGGACGCAGCGCAGATTGGTGGATGATAACGGACCAAGTGCGGATTGGTGGGTGATAACGGACCCAGTCCGGATTGGCGGGTCATAACGGGCCCAGCGCGGATTAGTGGGTGATAATGGATCCAGTGCGGATTGGATGGTGATAACGGACCCAGCACGGATTAGTGGGTGACAATGGATCCAGTGCGAATTTGATTGGTGGATGATAACGGACCCAGTGCGGATTGGTGGTGATAAGGGACCCAGTGTGAATAAGATTGGTGGATGATAAACGGATCCAGCGCGGATTGGTGGGTGATAACGGACCCATTGCGAATTGGAGGGTGATAACGGACCCAGCGCAGATTGGTGGTTTTTTTTCTATCAACAAATCTTCAGGTCAAGTTTATGATTTTCAGATCATTGAAGCTAAAGAAGTTTCCACTGCAGTCGTGTGGTCATAAGCACACTCGCTTTTTTTTTGTTTATGTAAAATGGGGGGCAAACATATCATTGCGATATCATAAATATCACTCCCTGACCCAATCCCTTACCCAGTGGCGCCCAGTTAAATAACACAAAAGGTAGTGCTATTTTACTGTGGTCTTCTGTAAGGTGGAGGTAACTTCCCCAGACGGGCGAGAATTCCGCTATGCCCTAGCTCTCTTGATTGGAAGCATTACTCTCTAACAAAGGCCGCTACAACATGGTTCTAAACTCATACAACTTAACTTCAATACTAACGCGACACCTACAGTACACAAACAAAACAAAATACTTTGACAAATCTAATATTGGCAAATAAATTTGACTTTCCATTTATTGGACAAGATAATGTTAAACGGAAATCCCAACCAATCATGATCGGCAGCGTGATCGCAGTATTTTCGCCCAGCCCACTTTATCGCAGTTTGCGTGTAACTACTTTTAGCGCAGTTCGTATTCCATATTATTTCTAATTCGTTGCTGTTGATTATGTATCATCATCAGCCTAATTATATTCCCACTGTTGGGGCACAGGCCTTCCTTATGGATTTAATAGGGAGATTGGGACGTGATTAGAGGATTCGGGATGTATCCCGGGATTTTTGGGGGTGATATATTTATTATATAAGTCAATAAAAATGTGCATGAAACGAAACGCGCTTACTTTCATTTGACGTTTTGACGACCATTTTTTTTACACAGCTGATTTCATTTATTTTTGTACGACCGGTACCGGATTATTTGTAAAAGTGTATAAAAATATTTTTTTATTATTGGTGATTATCTATGAATTTATTAAAAAACAACCAATGCATTAATGTGTCTGAGTAATTATAAATAGTCTTTTTTACAGTATATCTATAAAGTCTTAAGAAGTTGATTTTTTTAAGTCGACGGGGATCGAATCCTCTAGACATGATACACCATGCAGGTACTATTGATGGGTGCTAACGACAGCCGGGACCAAAGGCTAAGCGTGCTTTCCGAAGCACGGAGGAGCTCGAGATAACAAATTTTTGGTCACCCATCCGATGACCGGCCTTCCACGATCGCAAAACTCTTTAGATACTCAATAATGAGTACCTATAGTTTAAGAGATCATTTATTTAATTGATTGCTTGCGAATATAGTTCAAAGATCAGTTATTAAATGAAATATCTACCTGCTAATTGAAATTATTTTTAGATACTTATAAACGAGTACAGTTTAAAAATCAATTATTTGAAATTTTATGCGGTCGCAAAGTATACACATTGCTACGATTTGTATTTTTTATTAAACGAAAAACATAAGCTTCGTGTACGCCGCTAATTGTGAGCTATTTTTACTTTGCTGATCACACTCATACACTTTTTTATATAGCATAAAAAATAAAGCACATTTTAAATCTTGAAATAAAGAAAATCATGGAATACAGTTAACAATTTAAAGGCAAAAACCAAAACAAAACTTACTTGAAAGTATTTTTACTTTTTCATATTTTAGGACACAGTTAGGGTCTTTTGTATTGACTGACCTCATTTGACAGAACTTCCCAAATGCCATCACACGCGATGACGATGAATTCCCAATCTTCGTTGATCTGCCTCACTTGAACATCTGGATAAGCTGTAACAATGAGGTACGAGGGGAGGTCAAAAAGTTCGCGGAATAAGAGGGAAGGAGGTTGAAATTAAACACCAAACTATTTTTCCTTTTCAATATATTCTCCCTTAACCCTAATACATTTTTCAGATCTCTCAAATAACTTGTTTATACCATCGAAAAAAAATGATTTGTCTTTGGTGTCAAAATAGGCCGAAATTGCGGACTTCACTTTTTCATCGTCGTCAAATTTTTTTCCACGCAGCTCTTTCTTCATTTTTGGAAATAAATAATAGTCACTGGGTGCCAAGTCTGGACTGTAGTGTGGGTGGTTCAATTGTTCGAAGCCGCATCGGTGAATGGCAGCCGTCGCAACATGGCACGTGTGAACGGGTGCATTGTCGTGCAGAAGGAGCACACCTTTTGACAGCTTTCCTCTTCTTTTTTCCTTGATGGCTTCTTTCAATCTTTCTAGTAACGAAGCGTAGTACTGTCCCGTTATAGGCACACCACGTTTTTTATAATCGATCAGTAAAATACCTTCTGTATCCCAAAAGACAGTTGCCATGATCTTGCCAGCCGATTGTGTCACTTTGAACTTCTTTGGAGGAGGTGTGCCTTTTTTATGCCACTGCATCGACTCTTGCTTTGACTCGGGTTCATAGTGGTGAACCCAGGTTTCATAACCAGTAACGATTCAGGCCATAACTTCTTCCTTTCTCTCTCCATAGAGCTCCAAAAACTGGCGCGAACACTCGACACGCTCGCGTTTTTGAAGTGGCGTCAGCATTCTCGGAACCCATCTTGCACTGACCTTAGTCATCCCAAGATGATGATGTAGAATATTCAAAATACTTGTTTCGCATACTCCAATCATTGCTGCAAGCTGCTTCTTCTTCAACCGGGCATCTTCCTATACAAGTTTTTCTACTTTTTCGACGATTTCCGGTGTGGTGACCTCAATTGACCGTCCGGAGCAGGGGTCGTCTTCAATGGACTCTCTTCCTTGTATGAAAAGATCATGCCACTTGTAAACCATGGTTTTACCAGGGGCAGAGTCCGCGTAAACCGCCAACAGCTCTTGAAAAATAATCTGAGCGGATTTTCCTTGCTTGGTAAGGAACTTAATAACGGCGCGGTGTTAAATTTTCTCCATACTGGCTGACTTCTTCCCGATTCAGTTGTTTGCAGTTCGATAATTCAAAAGTTAATAACCCGATTAGGTTCAAACTTGGTATATATACTCTTAATGAGGTGCTCAACTAGTGCCTACCTGGATAAGTAAACTTACCCCCACCAACCCCTCCATTCCGCGAACTTATTGACCTCCCCTCGTATATCGTAAGTTTTATGACGCAAAACTAAGTTTAGACGACAAATCGCAAATTATATCGTTGTTGTTTAATACAATACAGGGCGTCCCACCGGTTTATCACACAGAGGGAAAGTATATTAAATATTAAAGATAAGAAATTTTACTAAAACAAGACATCATTTTTTTTATAATAACTAGAACTAACTGCATTAATAGAGATATAGAACATATTTTACGAAGTCATAGTTACATGGATTTCGCCATTAGAGAAAAAGAGAGGAGTATCAAATATATTATTTACTTAAATGTTTTTGTCGCCAATATTAACTTAAGAGCCCTTTCACTTGCAAAAAATCGTAATTTTTGAGCACCTCGTTTACCCCCTTGGAAAGGATTTTGACTATTTCCAATAAAAGTAAACAGTAGATTTATTCTTCCTATTGTAAGTTAATGTAGAATATTTGCAAATACTATTTTCCTTTTTTTGCACTGATCGTTTTACCGCGGCTAGTTTACGGAAAAAACGATAATATGTACAATTTGACGCCTGAATCTCTAAATAATGTTCTATAAATTAGATCAAATTAATTACTACGACATCAGAAATATGCTTTTGTTGTTACATAATATATTAGAATTTTAGATTTTCCATCTCATTAATTATCAAATAAAACATCTAACTTCCGTGAGTTTTCCCAAAAAATATAGCTGGTTTATCTCGTATTATGATATTGAATTAAATAGAATTACTATCAAAAACTCTCAAAAAACTAATTTACAGTCATTGAACTACTGAAATATGTATATATTTTTATAATTAATTCATTAATAATTATTATATAAGATTCGAAACATCACCCGTAAAATGCAATGCATACTAGTGCAAATCTGCCTAGGCGCCGATCAGTACGGCAGAGGCGCAATTTTGTAAAAGGGCTCTTAAGTGTCACGTATCTTTCTTTTTCGGTAAGAGTTTTTTGCAAAAAATTTCAGCAATTAACAAGGTGGAAGATGTTTGTCTACAAGTTATGACGTGCATGAAAAAAGGAAATATTGATTTAAGTTTACAAAAAAAATTTTTTTGCACATTTACCTGTAACAATTTGCTCCTGAGGCGAAAGCCTGTAATTCCTCTTGAATACATAGTCCCCTAGTGCCCGAGATAAAGCAAGGTTGCCATTCACTCTGTTTAACTGAACCCAACCACCGCCTGCATTGATCCTGCGGAGTTCTTCTTCATTGTTAGGTTTGTGGTCATATGATAGGATTTCCACCTTAAATAAAGGTATTATTTAAAAATGTTGTTGGCCAGTTAAATAGTAAAATCAAATAAACTAATGAATACTACAGTTATAGGTTGTGTTATTTGATATGGATATTTTATAATTCCATCATCATCATCCTCAGCCTATTTATTAATAATTACATGGGACTGGATTAGAAAGATTTAGCCATGACCCATCACACGGGCCTAGTACAGATTGGTGGGTGCTAACGACGGCAAACCAATGGCTTAGAGCACAGAGCAGCTCCAGCTAATACATATTTTAGTCACCCATGCGATAACCGGGCAATTTTGCGAAATCGAACTCGCTATCCACTTGCGCCATCATGCTCCTCAATAAATAAATACTCCTTGTTACATAAAAAATCTTGTATTGGCCCTAAATTGTTATAAAGATTTTATTTTTATGAATATTTTAGGAATTGCAATAATTTATCATTAAATTTAATATTCTGTTATACTCACAGCTCCCCTGACACTGGCTATGGCTCTGGAGTCACCAACATTAGCACAGTATAAAACATTCTCCTTTATCAATACCACAACGGCTGTGCTACCAGCTACCTTCTGTTGCAATACGTACTCTTCAAACATAACCTGGTCCATATCAAGAAAACCCTGGAAAAATAATATTGGATTTATATGAAACAATTTGTAAAATGAAAAGAAACAGGTTCTAAGCAGAACAACATAACAGAACAGAACAGAACAGAAGCAGACAGAAATTTCTTTAGTGAACAAGTACTAGTAGTAGTCCTAACATATATCCATGAAGCACAAGATAATATGCCTCAGGATTATTTAAATACTGGAGGTCGCCCGTGACTTCGTCTGCGTTAACTTAGTTTCTTGAAAATCCCTCTGGAACCTAACATTTTTTCGGGATAAAAGTAGCCTATGTGTTAATCTAGGGTGTCAGCTAACTCCATACCAAATTTTATTAAAATCGCTCCAGCCGTTTACACGTGAAGAAGTAACAAACATACACACTCACATACTCACACACTCACAAACTTTCGCCTTTATAATATTAGTGTGATAAATCAAAACTTACTGAACACATGAATGATGTATTTGTGTTACATGTAGTGCAAATTACATAGCAATTAATTGATTGGTTTTATTCCAACGCAGTGCTAAAAGTATTTTTATATGTTTAATACAACGTTATGTAAATAATAAAAATAATGAATACCTGTTTTAATGCCTCTTCAATGTTACCAAGATGATATTCTGGACGGGCAGTTATAAACTTGTGTAGGTGTTTTCCAGCATATTCTGCTATGTTTGCTCCTGAGAATTTAACACATTTAATAAAGTGAAAGCATATCTACTATATAAAAATAAGTCGGGTTTTCCTTCCTGACGCTATAACTCCAGAACGCACGAACCGATTTCCACGGTTTTGCATTCGTTGGAAAGGTCTCGGGCTCCGTGAGGTTTATAGCAAAGAAAATTCAGGAAAAATTAAAAAAAAAATCGTTTTCTTTTAATCACAAAACGAAATGTTATATAAAACGAAGCTATCTGGTGGCGAAACGGAGTTCGCTGGGTTTGCTAGTTTTTAATATAATATTTTGAAAATAATTTATTACTATGAGTCTCATAACCTACCTCCATGTCCATCATATACAGCAAAAAAGGCAGTGCCAGGATCATCTGGTAATGACAGTATATGTGTGTGACAATCATCCATAGACACACGCCATCCTTGCATGCAGGACGAACCGACGAGGTACCGGCTGTCCTGACATGTCGATGACTGCTTCTCTGTCACAGGCTCTGATAATGTCTGCCCCATCACTCTTGAAATCGAAATAATTTCAAATGTAATAACATTTTAAAAGAATAATACTCTCATCCTGAAACCTCTTGTGGAGTTGAATTTTTTGCTCATAAAATTTTTCCATAATTTTATAAAGGAAGCAGATTAATATACTGTAAAATAAGAAAAGTAATTAACCATTATACATTGCTCAGTTAGGAGAGTTGTAAAGGTGGAAATGGATTAAATGGACATCCTATTAATCCCACTAATAATAAAAACTTACCCTTATTACTATTATGAATCATAATTAAGTATGTTGGCATATTAGTCAGTCATAGACAACAAAAAATTGTGAGCTGCAAATCAACTCACAGTTGACAAGTGTGAGCTAGAACTGCAAACCGGTTTGCAGATCAGCTCGCTCTGAAGATACCTTAATCTAAATGTCTGTAGAGGTGCTAAGCGTGCGATCAAGTAGCAGAGCTTTGACCTTAGTTACTTTGACCTAGTTTTCACAAGCTGGTGCATTTATCATTTTTGTTATTTAATTAAGTAAGTCTTTAATTACTTTGTATCTTCTATATGTTACTGTTGTGTATGTGTTAGTGACAAATTATTCTCACATCAGCAATTATAGTTTTTAAGTCTTTTTTTTTCAGTAAGTATAAAAAACATATTTATATTTTAAATTTAGTATTTTTCCTTAATTCTTAATTACATTATTAAGTCCTGCTGTTATTTTTAATGCTTTTTAAGTCTATTTTTTAATAAAAGCAATACAGCATGCTTTTTAAGTAGCCTGTCATCTATATTGTTCATTGATAACCGAGTGCCGCGGCACTGGAGCCATTACACCGTTTACGGTTCCTTCAACCTAATGAGCCTAGTGTAAGAAAAAACCTCAAGACAGGCTATTATTATTTGAACTAGCCGAGGTACTTACCTAGCCGAGTCACTCATGTTTAGTCAGTAATGTAAAAATTGGCCAAATGGATTAAAGGAAATTTTGCAGGCAGTTTATTAATAAGATTAGGATATATTAAGATACATTTCCTCCTAGAATATCAGTGGTTCTTGTGGGATAATAACTACTTTCCAAACAGATTTTTTTATTTAGTAGCTTGGTGGTGCAGGTGTTTATTGGGCTCAGCCTGTAATTGTAGAAGTAAAGCAACTTTCGCAATAGTCGGCCATTGGATGTGTAGCCAAAAACTGATTATCTCACGCTCCTCTGTGCTTCAGAAGGCATGTTAAACTGTTGGTCTCTGCTGGATCTGCTATTGTTAGGACCCACATTTCTGCTCTAGGTTTGCGTAGTGGTTCATGGCCCAATCTCCCAAGCCATCCATAGGGAAGGTCTGTGCCCCATCAGTGGGGACATTAATTGGCTCATGAGACCAACACTTATAATATTGTTCAAAAAGTTTATTAACACAATAACTATAGTTTACTTCAAAGTGAAGCAAAGGGCAGTTCACTATTATTTTAACAGCTGTAACTAACACTCACAGTCAATGTTATTTAGCAGTGGTTTGGGCTACACTGTTCTACCGATAGAGAAATAACCAGTTACCATTATGTTAACCATATTAAGTTTTTGAAACAGTATCCTGTAAACTCCATTTACTGTCATAATCATAATCAAATTTTTTTTATTCAGTTTAGGTTGTTACAAGCACTCATGAATTTCTAGAAGCTACGCCATGTGTGATGGAAAACAGATGATGCACTAAGTATACAGATTTTGACTGTCAATCCACAAGGGGAGAGGTTTTTTATTATAAGGTACTACTTTTTTTGTTCTAATTGGGATTTTGATGCTTCAAATTAATATGACTCATTAAGTAGGTACCAACTTACATTGTCTATCACATCAACTGGATTGTTAACACACATAGATAAACATCGAAGGCGATACTATCGGATGTACATCCCAAAAAAATAATTGTAAGGTCCTACATTAAGAACTGTTATAACATTTGATAAAAGTTTAACATTTAATAATTCAACAGAATAAAATGGAACCGACTGACTGACCGACTTTGGTGTTCCAAAGTGATGTATAGGTCTACTCACATGATAAAATACACGTTTGTAAAAACGGTAAACTCTTCACAAATTCACCACAACTATCGGAACTACTAATATTAGCTAAAATTGAGTTCCTTTTTCTCATCTGTTCCAGTAAGTAACGTTTTAGTGCCACACAACCTTACTTCTTATGTTTACTCACCGATAAACCAAACACAATTTAAAAGTGATATCTTATACTTTACAATTTATAAATAGTTTATCTGTGTTTTTCCGACTGATTTGTTTTCGCGAACGAGATAAATAAATGCGTAGGTAAATACAACTCAAACGTCAAAAATGACATTAAATTAACCTTAGGGATGCGCAAAGGTTATATCGATATTTCTGGAAAAAAAAAACATGTAAAAGATGTTATTTTAGTTGTATTTTTAAGCAAATAACTGCTACACTTCAAAATATTTCGATTAGAAATCGTTTTCTATGAAAATTAATCATACCCACTAAATATTTTCGAAATCTTTGTTGTAAATATTCATATTAATAATGCAAATAGTTTATTGAAGTATCAGAGTCATTTTCTGATAAACGTGTTGTCAGATTCTGAAATACTAAAACTCGGTAGGTAGGTACTCGTTCAAATAAATCGATCGATCAATGCATAGCCCATAAAGATATCGTCATAGTACTGGCAGAATTAAATAAGTAACAAGTCCGATTTTGTCATTTTTTCACTGAAAATTAACATAACTTTTCATGGTTAAGAAATTTAACTGGTCGATCGTTTAATTATGTTGTACAACATAATTTTCATTATAATTCGTACAGGCCCTGGGAATGGACATTATATAACTAAAATAAAATAAATATCTTGAAAGTTGGGTTTTGTTAGTTATTTAATTCTTCCACTATAACGATAATATGCGCCCTTCAACTTGGTTTTAAGAAACATTTATCACGTTTCAAGATAATGTTTTCATTCATCAATATTTTTATATTATACATGTATCGATATATTTACGTGTACATCCCTGGTTGACCATAGACAAACTAAGCTAGGTTTTTTAAATTCTCCCATTTAAGACGACAAAGGATTTTAATAGCATACAACCGGAACCATAGACATTATCATCTGTAATCCTAAATCTATAGAAATTACTTATTTTCTAAACCAACCGTAGTAAAAATCTACACTCGCTTATTTGCTTTCGCGATGATTTACATCATCAATATTTTTGTTGAACTGTAAAACTACACAACTCTTACAATAGGGAAGATGCAATATTTTTATTTTTGTTTTTAATTTAAAGAATTCCATTTAGAATAAAACACAGATATATTAAAAAATTAAAACATTGTGATTTATCGGAAAAAATGCGGTTTTAAATTGACAATTTAAATTTTCGCGCGAAAACGAACCTATGGTTGCGATGACGTCACTCCTGTCTGTCACTGGTCGTAATTGTTCGTTGCTGGCTTTAAATTTTCATACTTTGGCATATTTTTTCGACTTACGAAATTTTTTTTTTAAATTTAAAATGGACTATCCATCAACATCATGTGATCATAACAATACCACTAATATTCCGAAAAAAATCCGTGTTGACTCATGTTTTGTGCCAATCTACTTCAACAAAGTTCCCAAATAAATTGTTTTTGACTGGAACTTCTGACCCAAAACTGAAAAAAGTGGTTTCAAGCTGCGAAGAGAAATGACAATTATTCTCCAAAGACCATTATTCGATGCTGAGAAGATCACTTTGACGTAAGTCGGCGAATATACTTGTTATATGCTTAATTAATCTGCTTGTACGTAAAAACGCATAAGTAACCTACCTAATACTTACAAAACCTGTCTATAACATATTTTTAATTTAACAGTTGGAGAATGACGTCGAAAATTAGATAAAGTTTAAAATGTGTGGCACAGTCTTCACATTGGCAGGACTAAACCAAGCTTTGCGTTTCATTTAAAATAACTGTAACACGATAACCTTCTTTACGTACTTTATGCTCCGGAGAACTCGACCTTTTACTGTACATAATTTTCCATCTCTTTTAATTTGGACATAGCCGATTGCATTATCGCCGTAAGATTTGTAGAAGCCGCTGAATAAAATACGAAGTTTAACAACTACGATTTTTGCATACCGTAGTAATTTAGTCCCTTTCATTTCTACACTTAAAAACTCTGCACTTTGGACAAAAAACGTTATAACCATGTCAACGCTAACTCTTGGTAAATTCCTGGAGTCTGCTTTGATAAACGCAACTTCCATTTTTATTAAATGTAAAAAAACGCAATAAATATTCCCATAAAATAATATTTACTTTAACAACCATACCTCAAAGAAGTTGTCATAACAGGAGAGACGTCACTAAACGCTGATAGGTGTTTTAAAATACGTTCCGTTTCAAGTATTTTTAATTCATAATAATTGTTAAAAAACAACATTATGTAAAATAAAAACGTTGCAGTAGCATTTCTTTTATATTTTTTTAACATTTTAATCATAAAATTTTCATAAATATTATATATGCATCTTCCCTATTTTGCCAAGCATCCAACCTAAGAGAGCATAAGTCATTAATATAATTAATTGGCCACCTCTAGAAGGGTGGCATAGTAACAAGCTTTAGACCTTCCTGACGTGGACTGCCACCAAAGCCCCTAACCACTTGTGATGCCTGCCTACCATAGCAGTACCTACCTACTACTCGTCCGTTGTATACCCTGACTCCATACCCCACTCAGTGCAATTTAAAACCTTCTTACAACAATAAATAAAAACGTCATGTTGTCTTCTGTAAGGTCAAAGTAATTTCCGCAGACGGGTGCTCCGATTCAAGCGGAAAAGTCGCAATAATTTAAATCACTGTAATATACTCTTCGGGACCAGTAATATATTTTAGGATAGTGAATTTCATTGTTTTGGTAGGTTTAATAATAATTTTATTACTCCGCTATTGATAAATATAGGTACTACTTACTGACCTTACTAATTTTGATGTGAACATATCCAAAACTGAAGTGGTATTTTATAATTTTCCAAAATACAAATTCGTATTAAAAGTATGTAGATACAATAATTTCAATAAAAAAATAATTATACAAGAAACTAATCTCAAAACAGCTAAAAACGAATAAATGACGTATACGTGACATTTGTTGGCTTTCATTGACATTCAGCAAACAAGACAAAGGGTATAAAAAGTTGATGACATGTCGCTGTAGATCATGAACATGGGATTTCGTTAATGTAAATCTTTGTAGTAAAAATATAATATAATTTAATCTATACATATAATAAAATGGTAGGAAAGTCAAAACTGTACTGCAGTTGGGGTGTGATCTACAATCGATACCGAAGCCAAAAATATAGTTTTTGAATTTTTGTCTGTTTGTCTGTATGTATGTCCGTGAAAAACTAAAAAAGCACTGCATAGATTTACTTCAAATTTGGCACGAATATTATTAAGAAGTCGGGTCAATATATAGGCTACATATTATCACGCTATCACCTACGGGGTACGAGCAGTGAACCTTTATTTCTAACTAACTCCACGCGTACGAAGTCGCGGGTGGCCGCTAGTTACTCAATATATTGTTTTATTACAAAGATTTACAAAAACGATTTACTAAATTTTGGGATTTACTCGAACGCGGCAGATTAAGATAATGGGGAGACCTTCCACCTTGTAAAGTACCATCATGCCTTCCCTTTATATAGGATCGTACGTCTAGGGCAGCAAAACTATTTCGCCAATCGGCCATAACTTTTGATCGACTAAATCGACAGTCTTTAGAATAGGAGCTACTTGAGGGTTAATATTTCTCAAGTATGGTAAAGATACCAACCTGTGAAAATGTCGGCAAGACGGCATATACACCAATTAACTATTTAGGGAAACAAGAGGTGCGTCTTCAACAAATAAGTGTTGTCCTCGCTCATTAACACGAAGTCCCTCGTCAGCGCAGCCATTTAGAATATTTTTAGTAACAGTCGCGTGTACCTACTAACATTAAACTACTATGAATGGATCACTAGGCTCGGCTTGGCAAGGCTCTATAGGAACAATATTAAAAACCCTATCGTTGCCCGCTCATCAACTATACACTGCCTTTTTTAGCCCAAGAGCTTCCCAGAAGCTTAAAATAGTAAAGGTACTGTTAAAACACATAGTACAACATTTTATTATCTGTTTCATAATAATATTGGTACCTGCCACCTACCTGCAGAAGAAAGCGCATTTTGCTTTTGTTTTTTTGTTTTTTATTGCCTGTTTTAATTTTTAGGATCAATTTCAAAGAAATTTTGAATCTTCCGTGATGCGTTCAAAACCGGTCAATAAATAGTATGCCGGCACAACCAGGCCTGCTTGGCCACACTTAAATAGGGTTCCGTTGCATATCTTATAGCGCATATCGCAAACTTTCTTTGGGTCACGTCTTAACAACATGTGAGTCTGGGTGCTCCCGCTGAGGAGCATGTAAATAATTTTCAATAGAATTTGTATTAAAATTTACTTTTCTTTCAACTACGCAGTAATGTTATTATTAAACACTACAAAACATATCACAAAAAGAGTTATTTTTTTTGTTTAGAACCAAAACAGTACAGAGATGTTGTTTGAAATCTCATTGTTGCACTGCTTTTTATTCAGTTGTTATGACATGTAGTGCACTTAATTGTAAATCGTTTGACAAAAAGTAGAATTTATTTAATCCCCGTTTTCTTTTAATAATTATTATATTTTGATATGACATAGTTGCTGTTTGGTAAACAGAATAATTTCGAAGACAACAAATCAACTCAAAACCTTTGTAATAGTATTTTCTTTAATAAGCTTTCTCATCAATATACTTTTTAAATCATCGAAATCAGTATACTTTTTAAATCGCCGTTGCGATTTTATAACTCTTTATATAAAGTCAATATTTATCGACGGAGGGGATGTACGGTCAGAGTGTGTTACGTCACAGAGCTCGATCAACTCGAAGTCGCGCTATACTTGCCCTATACTGAGCACCTGTGTCACTGAGCGAGTAACGCTTAGCGAGAATCACTGAGCCAGTATCGCTGAACGAGAATCGCTGAGCCAGTATCGCTGAGCGAGTATCGCTGAACGAGTATCGCTGAGCCAGTATCTCTGAAAGAGTTCAAATTTCAAATTCTAAAATCATTTATTCAGTTTAGGCTTTTACAAGTACATGTGAAAGTCCAAAACTACGCCATCGATTCGCAAAACTACAGCGGGAGACCTTGAACTGAGAAGAACCGGCAAGGAAC